TGTGCACATAAATCCGCCAACTGATGAACGCCCTCTAGCTATTTCATGAAAGATATGCTTATTCCGATTTCTGTCGCGTGAATTTCCTGCTTAGGGCTCATTACAAGCTAATCTTTATTAGGAATCACTAAGCTGTAAAATTGATTCAAATTGTTATTTTATGATGTTATTCTACATTGTTATTAATAACAGATTATGACATTCACTTAATTGCTAGAAGATCACTTTTCATAAAACAGTTGACTTTTGTTAGGTACTAGTGATTAAAATATTTTGGCTATTTGTTAGTTGAGTTTAATTTTTTGATTTTTTAAAATTAATTTAATGTTGGTAACACTAAACTATGGAAAAAAATAAACAAAAAGGCCAATGATTTTTTAAAAAAACGAACAAAACTTTTGAAAATTCCGAAGTTGAGAGCGGATATCGAATTAACTGAGATATTTTTAGGAAACATTTTAGTATAATGACATTAAATTATTAAAATTTGATAATATTTCTGCTTAATTTTTAGCTACTATCAATTTTTTTAATAATCTATATATAAAAATATTGTAAACATCACCATCGACGTTTAGGGTGTTCAATTTTGTGTTTATTTTGATTTGCTGCTGAAAAACCAAAAGACTAAGAAACTTTAAATTAGAAAGGTGTGTAGAAAAGTTTAGAGAAAGATCGGTGCAATTAAAAAATGCCATTCATTAATTATTTCAAGAGATATATGACCTTCAACTTGTACTAATAAATCCCCTGAGGTTCACTCGTCAGACCACAGGAATGTAACTTGAGAATTGTAATTAGACGTCCTTAAAGAGCCATTTTCATTTATGAATTTAACATGACTTTTTATTGAAATCTCAATATTTTCGAGAGTTATCGCTATTTCATTTATATTTTCGTGAAAGTTTCCTCACTTCTTTTAGCCATAAACTATGGCTATTTATCCATTTTTATGGAAGCTTTTATTTATTTCGCTTGAGAATTTTATTTCCCGGACTCGCTAATTAGTTGAAGTCGAAAGTAGCGATAAATAAATAAATAAATAAAATAAGAAATAATAGAGAAAGCAAAAGAGACATTAGATGTTTTAAGATATCCCATCTTAACATTTATACTGAAATTTTTAAAAATGTAATCAACATTTATTCAGGAATTCAAAAGATATAAAGACATTTTTAAAAATATCAACTTAGAAATGGAGAAGCAATTACGGGGATTATTGAGCTCAGTAAGCAGGGGGTAGAGCCTCCTAGTTATTAAAATATATGATGAAATTAATAGGTATGTTTGCAGTTGGAATTACTTTCAATATCAAGTCTTTCAATTGACAACTAGTTTTTCAGGTGAAATGAACTTTTTTTCTACCATTAAAAAGTTAGCTTATTTATTTTTATAAATGATTGGTGACTTATTATTTAGCATTATTAAAAAAACTGCAAATAACATATTGAGTAAATGCAATAAAATGCACAAACTATTGACATCATATTAACTTGTCGCAAATAGATGATCATTAGCAATTTAAAGACAAAAATACGAACGTATTAATTTATATTAGCAGGAAGTAATCAACAATAAGTTTGTGCTGAAATAAGAGGAATTATTCTAGATGCAATTCTATGCATATAGATGTATAGATAAGATCTATGTTTCTTGCTTTTATCCTCTCTTAGTCAGTGACATATTATCAAATAGCAGAAACAAAATCTATAAGCCGTCAAAAAAATGTCAATTATAAATTTTTAATCACCTCTCTCTCCATAAAAATTTTAAAATTTTGATTATCTAAAACTTAAGTTTTTAATTTTCTACCTCTCCATAAAATATTATCCTTGTAAATACATCAACAGTATAATTGAAATAAAATAAATCTTGGCATTCTGGATTTATATCCCCAAGCTTACACAAATTTCAAAGTTGTTACTCAATTGAAGTGCATTTTCAGTATTAATTGGATAATAAATTTTAAAGACTATGAATGATTGTACTGATATGTATCTGAAGAAAATTTAATTATATAAGTTGTACGTGTTAAAAATTTATGCTTTGTTTAATTTTGTAAAACTTAGAATGCCGAGATGAAAAGCAGTAACTGAACTTAAATTCACGGCAAATATTAAATTGCAAATAGTTAAGATTTAAATCCACGCTGCATTCTAATAATTCATCACTAATACCTTAACTCTGAGAAAAATTGCTTCGTGCATACATTTCTAAAAGTTCTAACGTTTCCCTTCAATTTATAGTCTTATCTGACGAATAATTAATCCCCTCTAATCTACCTTTAGCTACCAAAAATAATAATGCATACTATAGGTTTTAGACTTGCAAATTTTATTCTCTTAAATTTCGCTTCCTCGTTATTCCACAAGTTAGATTAAAGCTTCAGAATCTACATTAAAACTTTTTCTTTATGAAATACTGCTTTAATGTGTATTAATATTTCAAGTTAAACAAAATCTTTCATAACTATTTCAAAAGAATTGAACTTGCTTAGTGGCTACAATAAATGGAGTTAGTCTACTATCTCTCCAGCAAAGAGCAAATGTGGCTCATTCAAAAAGCCTTGATTCTATTTTGAGTTTTCCTACCGGAGAATGTTTGTATAACCTTGAAAAATTGTATTGCAAATTTTATTACATCTGAAAATTAGTTTCTTATAAAAAATATTTATGCCCTACAATCATTTTATTAAAAAAAAATTAACCTTGGCCTTAGTTGGGCTAAATATTGTCTCAATATGTGTCCAACAATGGAATGCCTAGATTTTTCAATATTGGTCCTAGAATGACTTTCAATATTCAATTCCTAGAATGACTTTCTATATTCAATTCCTAGAATGACTTTCAATATTCAATTCCTAGAACGACTTTCAATATTTACTTTCAATATTCAATTCCTAGAATGACTTTTAATATTGACTTTCAATGCTCAATTCCTAAAATGACTTTCAATATTGACTTTCAATATTCAATTCCCAGAATGACTTTCAATAGTGACTTTCAATATTCAGTTACTACAGCGTTTCTCAACCTTTCAGTATTCGCGGCCCAGTTTTCAATCATAATTTTCATCGCACCCCCACTTGCAGTAAAATGTATGCAACAATAATGTATATTGAGTATTTTTAATTCTGTCTTTAAATTATTTTTAACTAACTATCAAAACAAAAGTAAAGTAAAAATCAGCAGCAATTGAGATTGTAAAAACTATGTTTGGAGTTAATTTTTTAAAACAATTACAGTCCATACCTCTTTCAAATGATACTATTGCTCGTCGAATTGGTGATACAGCTGAAAATGTAGTGTCAGCTTTTCTCGATGTTGCGTGACAAAATGTTTTCAATAATTAGAAAAATTACTAAAAAATCCAAATTCTTCCCTCATGTTAATAACGGTTTTAGTCAGAATATTTTCAGTTTATAAAAATTTTGCTGATAATTGAAATTTTATTTAATTCTAACGTTTATTTAGAATTGCAGAGACACTACATAAATCCAGGGCTAAAGAGAAGAGGATTGGTTCATTCCTCTCTTAGAG